ATTATAACCAAAAGTTGATATAAAAAGTACTAATACATCTTTAATGACTAAATTCTTTGCAATCATGCCCTAGAATGGAGTCCAATTAGATTCTTGCAAGTTTGCCGTTAAAGATATAATTTGCCTCTAGAAGCTTTTGCGTAGTGTTGAGACCCAAAAAAGTCATGAGCAAGCCCAATCAAGCCTCGAAGCCCAATTGCCACGAGAGTCCCAAGTCAAGCCTGAACACATGCAAAGGTACGGGATCAAGAAAGGAATATTCACAACCATGCCATGCTACGGTAATTAAGTCGAATATTTTATGTAAATCACCTCATGCCCATGCTTATTTGTCACCCTAAGATAAGCCCAAGTCACATGCTCGATCAGGGCTTGTCAAGTGAATGTGGTGTGGATGGTTACAAGAGTCTATTGGGCCTAGTGGAGTCAAGATTATGGAGGACTTTGGGCTACTTGGGGGCCCAAAGATTAAAGCCCATAACCCTTGTAGCCCACATAGGCAAGCATTGAGAGAGTACATACTTAGTTTACCTCTTTCCCCAGCAAGCTAACCAATCTAATTCGAAAGGAACCAAGTCCTAACTTTAGGCTCACGTGAAACCCCCAGCAAAACAAGCATTTAATAAAGAGAGGCTGACTTTCCCTTCCCAGCTCACGCAACATTTGAATGCACGAAAGCCATGACGCGCTACCAAAAGTAGCATCTGTGGAGAGCCGACCCAGGAAAGTAGCGCCTTGAGAGGGAGGCATGATGCATGTTTCATAGGTTGGTAGTGTCTAGCCATCTTGCACCAAAATAGAGGGTAGCAGAAGAACTAGGGAGAAAGAAGAGAAAGAAATAAGCCAAACTAAAGATTCCTTGATAAGGAATCATTCAACTACAAATATAGGTCAAGAACTTTAAAGAGAGGATCCCAATCCCCTAATATAACACCGAGAGCCAAAGAAACCTAGAAGACATCACTCCGCAACCTTAGTATTTTCCATAACCTCCTTCTGAGTATTCCAGCCATTGTAAACCTTGTTACTAACCTAGGAAACCTAGGTTATCTAGCCTAGAACACTTTGCAACCAGGCCAACTATCTTTCTTATGCTAATCTAATAAACTTCTAACTTCCACTCCATGCCTCACTTGTGCAAGCCATTATTTGTGTAATCATGCTATCTTCAAGTCATTCATTCAACCGAGATATTTCCTAAAATGTGCTAATTCTTTTGAGATATTCCTGGACTTAGTACGAAACCGAACCAAGGGAGACAATAGGACGTTCTCAAAGCTCAAGTCCACTTCGACCTAAAAGTTTCCCAACGCATAGCTTTACCAATGTTCCTATGTCGATCAAATACAAAACACCTCCAATGGCACCTCTCAATTTTGTTAGAAACCATGTCCATGAAGCATTGTTTTCTGAGTCAGCCACGCCAAACCAAACCCCAAATCCGTCAACACCACCCCAAATTCGTCAACATCATTTATCAATTAAAATGAAAGAGAGGAAAAAGGGAACTTGGCAATTGAGATTTGTAAAACTTGATGGGATCTTAGAGAAAGAAGCTCGTCTCCCTGAATCTATCTGTCTTTGAATCAAATTTGTACGCAGAAAAGAAAACGTTTGAAGGATGGTGACGAATTTAGGGTTTGGTTTGATTTTATAGGGTTCCATTTGACTTGCTTCGAATTTGGGCAATCTCACTGTTTATAGTGCAATTCAATTTAACCTTGATGGGGATCTTAGATAAAGAAGCTCGTCTCTCTGAATCTATCTGTCTTTGAATCAAATTTGTCCCCAAAATAGAAAACGTTTGAAGGATGGTGACGAATTTAGGGTTTCATTTGATTTCATAGGGTTTCGTTTGAGTTGCTTTGAATTTGGACAATCGCTCTGTTTGCAGTGCAATTCAGTTTAGGGTTTCAAGTTTGATAAGGGAGCAGTGTTAGATACTAATTCCTTACTAGTATAACCTTAACCTCGCTGCAAGGTAGCTATGGCGGATGAACGGGAGGTGGAAGAAAGAGTGTTTTTGTAAAATACTTTTCTATTACTTTTTCAAATCTAACGGTTACAAGAAAGAGAGTTGGTTTAATACTAGTACCAACATTCCACATGTGTAAGTGCCGCATTGCAAAAAGGACAAAACACTACTACAGAATCCCCACAATAATAGGAAAATTACATATTAAACCCAATTCATTTTGATCCCAAAACTCAATTACTTGTGATTGAGGCAATCACAATATTTCAGTACATAATGCATCCCCCTTGAAAATCAACCTTGTCCTCAAGGTTCAAACATCAAATTCTGGAAACCGAGACTTGAAAGCATCAAAGTCTTCCCAAGAAGCGTCTGCAACATCCTTACCACTCTATTGCACCAGAAGTTGCACATCAGCTGCACTTCCTTTCTTATACATTCTCCTAGCAAGTATTGCTAAAAGAGCTTCATCAGCCAATCCATCTTGTGTCAATTGAGGTAGCACCAAGCATGGGACAATAGAATCTCCCAATTTCTTCTTAAGACAACAAACATGGAACACAAGATGTACTTTGGTTCCATCATGTCTCAGTCCTTCATTTGTCATCTTGGGTCTTCATCATGTTTTGAGCCAAAACTAAGTTACTTTTGAGGACAGATAGTATCTTATCTCTCTCTAACAAGCTTTGTTCAACAATAGCAATATTAGTAGACCCCATTTCATATGGCACTATGTTTGGTGGTGAGTGCCTATAGACCTACTCAAGAAGAGTGAACCTTGCAAAAGTATAATAGGTGGTGTTAAAACACCACTCAGCCCAAGGTAACCATTGCAACCAGTTCTTGGTTTGTCCTCCTACTAAACACTTTAGATAGGTCACTTGTTCATAACCTCACATCATTCTAGGTATGATACCCAGAGCTCATGCATAACTTGGAACCTTGTAGTTTAAACAACTCTTTCCAAAAGGCACTAAGAAATATTGGGCCTTTGTCGCTTACAATCGAGGTTGGCATACCATGTAACTTGAAAACACTATCAATGAAACCATTATCTATTTCTTTTTACAAATTTTTATTTTTATGCTTGGATTTGCATTTTTTTCAGCCTATTACAAACGTGGTATGTGAATTTGGGGATTCTCTCTGAGTTACTCAAACCGTTCTCTATTTTTTTAGACGTTAGAATGATGCACTAACTACATTAATTATATGTGTGGATGATATGGTGGTGATGCGGATAAAGGTGAAACATTTGCTTAAGTATTTTGCGTCTAAATTTAAGATGAAAGAATTAGATGAAATGAAGTATTTTCTTGGGGTTGAAGTTACTAGATCAAAAACATGGCATCTTCTTATCTCAATGAAAGAATGTTCTAAATTTGTTACCATAAACTGAAATGTTGAATTGCAAACCTATTAACTAATACTTCAATTGAACATAATCACAAATTGGAGTTGTACCTTAATCAAGTTTTGAATAGTAAAGAGAGATATCAAATGCTTGTGGACAGATTGGTTTGTTTGTCTCATATCAAATCGCGCGCTTATGCAGCTACTATGGTGAGTCAATTCTTTCATGTAGCTAAACACGTATCTTGTGACCTAAATCTTGATTTATTTGAAGTTTTCTTGATAAAGTACTAGTGTTCAAAGTTTCATCATCACCCAACCATAGCAAGTGGTCCAGTGGTAACGGCGCAGACTGCGGCTCCCCAGTAAACAAAAAAATGTGGAAGGTCCCGAGTTCAATACTACAAGCTAGTGAGTCTACTTAACTGTAGCCACGGGCAAGGTGAAATTTCCCATAGCCTCTCCGGGCCCGGAAGCAGTGGATACCGTGGCTTGCTCAATCAAGAATATTTGGTCTACTCGTGCATATTTAACTTTTGTATATGGTAATCTCGTTACATTGAGAAGATAAACCTAAAAAATAATGGCTGGAACAAGTGTGGAGGCCATGTTTCGAGGTATGAATCATGTGAATTAGTTCAGTTAAAGAATTATTGAGAAGTCTTGGGCTTGAGACTAACAGGGCCATCAACTTATATTATGATACTAAGGTTGCCGTTGCCGTTGCCCATATTTCAGTGTATAACATAATCGTAATAAGTGTGTTGATGTGATCAACATTTTATTAAGGAAAACATAGACGTTGAATTATCGTGATTCCAATTTTATGAAGAATAAAGTTGATGCTCTTACAAAGACAGTCTTGAGTGCTCTACAATTCTCTTGATAAGTTAGGCACGTGTAATATCTTTACACCAACTTCAGAGATAATGTTAGGAATTAACCTATTTTTATAGGTCTTTATTTACTTTTATATTGTAAATGTGATTAATTTTCATGTCTTTTATGTATAGCAATCGTGTAAATTCTATATATATCCAAAGGATACCTAAAACTGAAATTCCCAAATAACTTTTGTTCGGCAAAGACCACATTGGCTCACGGACTATCATCAAGTTGATGCTATTGTTCATTCTTCTACTTAAAAGAATGGCATCTTTGCCAATTAGTATTACGGTCTAGTGTTCTTTATTGGTAAGTGAAATGTCTTAAGTTTGATTCTGGTCAAAAATGAATTTGAACCATATTATTGCTAGCCCGTAGTGAGGCTAAGCCCACCCCCTCCCCTTAGTGTAGATAATATTGATTGTTCATAAAAAAATAAAAAAATAAAAAAAGAATGGCATCCTTGTTTGATAAGAAAGAAATAGCATTAAAATTTAGCATGTAAAGTAATTACGAAAATCTTGCATTTAGTGTAAAATCTCAGTTTTCCCATGTTTTCTTTCCTACTGATGCACTCAGATTCACTTTCGTCCATTCATGAATAATGTAATGGTTTTTTTTATTTAATTTTCACGTTCCTCATTAAGGAATGGAATGCAATCCAGACACACTGTTAAATGTATTTCTTTATCTAAGTTTCCCTGATTAGGCTATCAGCAGCCTATGTTTTTGAAATTTTGTGTCTGCCCCCAAATCTAAAAAATTAAAATCCAAAAAAAAAAAAAAAAAAAAAACTGAGCTGTTGTTTCTTTATATATATAAAATAGTTCGAATCTGGATGCCATTTACACCTTGCATATTTCAAAAATTAATGCAGCATTATTGCACCCAAAAGCCAACACAAACCCAATTTAAAAAGGTACCCAAACCCACCTTTAATTTGTTTAAAACCCCATAAAGACAGCTTCCCACCATGTTTAGGACACATGGGGGTACTTGCATAAGCAATGAGCTGGCTAAGCAAGTACTAATAAGATTATAATTTAAGGCCTTAAAGGTGCTCTATGCGGTATGCCCTTTCTTCTCCTTTTCCTTGCATCTGAATGAGGTGGTGGAGTTGGAGTTGGAGTGCTTTGGTACATTTCTTGTTGCATTCCTTCACGCAATTGATCTTCTAATAATTCTTCTGATGGTAACCTTCTTTGTTTACCTTCCTTTCTTCCCTCCTCTTCTTCTTTCTTTGCGCTCAAGATATAGCTGGCTTCCCCCTTCTTCTTTAGTCCCTCAAGCTAATGTCAAAATCAAGAATATATATATATGGATTAATTGTTAAGTCAACATCATCAACCGAATTGGAACAAAAAAAAATATATACCAACATTGTTATTATATTCGATAACATAAACAAACTCTTGCAGTCGAGTGTTGAACACTCAGGACCACCTCCGACAAAGTAAAGACTAATCGCAACTATATCAAATTGTCATCGGCAAAGGCCTACATTGTTATTCTCGTGCACATTTCGGTCACAATGACATCTAGCTAAGAGACAGGTAAGAATGCAATGTCTTAGTTGATTATATATATGGAAGTTTTGTAATATTTAATGGGGAAAAGAAAAAGAAGAATAAAAATCTAACCTTGCATCCCAATGAACAAAAACGAACAGGATCCCAGAGACATCTCGCACATATTTCACAGATATGTGAGCCCCCCTTAACGGCTGTTTTAGGCTGAGGCCTCTGGTTAAGAAACAACACTCTCGCACTGTTTATCACATAAGTCTGAACTCCGCTGATGTCTAACACCTTCTGAATCTCAGACACCCTCACAACATCGTGATACGACGACCGTCTGATCTGCATTACGATTTTCACACCCCCACAAAAAGAATAAAAAATTTCGTTTATACACAATTGAAAATTAAAAAAACAAAAAACTGAACTGAAATTTGTATGCCTAATTACCTGAATTACTTGGTGATCTTTGTGTCTTGATGATTTACAATAAGAGCAGAATGCGCCATTGTTGCAATCTAAGCAGTACATGTTGCATTCGCCTCTCGGACCATCTTTGTGCCACCGGCAGATGGAGAAGAAGGCCGTCGACAACAATGATTCAAGCCACGAAGGTACCAACATTGCCTGCTCGGATGCCAAGAAAAAAACGATGGGGTAAGCCAAAAAGATAATGAAGACAATAATGCTAGATAGGATCCAGCTCTCGTTTCCTCGTAAACGTTACAAACAAGAGAGAGAGAGAGAGAGAGAGAGAGCAGGAGGGCTTAAAATCTTCTGAAAGAGTAACATACGATTTATCAGCAGAAGAATGTGAATTATATGAAAAGGACAAAACATTACAGCATACCATTGTTAAATGTGGGTGGGGAGATAAACGCTAGGGTGGGCACAGAAAAGGACAAGGTTTTTCTGTAACGGACGGTTGTGATAAGAGGGTGGATGGGCGGGTTGGAGCTAGGGGGAGGGGTTAGGACCGTTGGATTGGGAGAGAAGGGTTTGTGTTAATTGGGAGTTACGAAACTTTTGATTCGTCTCTGAGCAGCGTTGCGTCTTTTTGTAGAAGCACAGAGAGAGTCAGGGAAGCCGAAGTTTGGGCGGGGAAGCCTTTCCGATATATGAAAGGAGAAGTACGAACTACGACAGAAGAACATGTATTCCACGTGCAATTAGGGATCCCGGTGACTTTAGGTTTGCCAAATAAACTAAGTTTGCTGTACGTCTAGGTAATTTATTTATTTTTTTTTCAAGTGCTTTTTTTTTTTTTTTTTTTACCATGTGATGTGCTACGTCATATTGTAAACGGATTATTTGTCATGGAGGAATTTTTTCCATACCTAGAATATAATTTGATTTGGTTCAGGAGAATACTCGTGGCCCCAGGCAGGGCCAGCCCTGAGGGTAGCTCGAGTAGGCGCCCGCCTGGGGGCCCCCAAATTTTTTATTTATTTTTTATATATATAGAGGGAAATGTTATTGATACTCCAAAAATCACATCCTACATTCTTCACAAGTGTATTTTCTTTCCAAATATAGAAAGTTTGGAATGTAGAATAAGAATTTTGGAGTGTTAATCATAATTTTCTATATATATTTATATATTTAAATTTGCAGTTTGAGTAAAATATCTAAATATGAAATTATAAATATTTTTTTGGAACTTGCCGTGCAGCGTTTTGGGTTGGGGGGGGCCTAAATTTTTTTTTTTAAATATGTGTGTATATATATAATATATATAAATATATCTTTAGAGTTTGAATTTAATAAAATATTTAAATATAAAATCATATAATTGTCTTGAAACTTGGCGTACAAAGTAGACCTGGCATTCGTGTCGTATTTTCCGTGTTCGTGTCATACCCGATATCTTAACGGGTCGTGTCGTGTAACACCCGTTAAAATAAACAGGTAAAATGACCCGACCCGATAATATTAACAAGTAATTTGACCCGACCCGTTACCTGTTAAGGAAAATATATTGTAAACCAATAAATAATCAAATGAAAAACATAATATTAAATAAGCATATACATACCATATTGTCACATCCAAAACATAAAAACGCAATTTTCTTTTAAGTATATTTTCACTTACCTAAAGTCTTTAATAGTTTTTTAATTAATGTAGAAGTGTAAAAAAATATAGAAAAAATATATAAACGCTCGTAATGACAAGCTTTACAACTTTCATGAAGAGCTTAACTTCGAAATTCGCCACTATAATCATATAAATCATAGATCAAAATTTAACCGTTGATTGTTGTTTACATTTACGTTTCATTGTTCTCATCAAATTTTGTTTTTTCAGATTTTGTTTTTTTGAAAACTTGATCTATTAGAGGATGGAGGAAGATGAATGGTTTGGATTGTTGATATTATATTCAAAGTTTTACGGTTAGTGAAAATATTGCTTGATGTTTATAAAGTTTTTACAAACTATATGACATCGACTCATATTTCAGTTAACCGTAAATATCGAAACGTGATATCAAAAATCTGAACTGTTCATCTTCTTACATCCGCCAGATGATCATGTTTTCAAAAATGAAATTCAGTAAGAAGAATAAAGCGTAAATGGCAATCGACTGTTAAATATAAATTTAAGGTTTATGAATTATAGTGTTGGATTTCGAAGCTGACATCTTCATGAAAGTTGTAAAGTTTGTCACTATGAGTGATTGTATATTTTTTTTTACATTTTGTACACTTCTACAATAATTATTATTAATTTTATTAATTTTGCCCTCAAATAAAAAACATTATTCACGAAGGTTTGGATGATTTTAAAAATCTAAACGATAATGCAAGTGTAACCATTATCTACTCGTGGAGGAATAATGATGAATCACGAGTGTTTATATATTCTTTCACATTTTTCATATGTGTATGTATGTCTTCTTAGTTCTTGCCTATATAAATACTATATTAGTTTATTTTAATTTTGGACAACAACATGTTAAGTAAAATTTATCCTAATAATGATAATAAGGAGCTCTCACAATAAAAATAAATAATGACAAAAACTTTTTTTAAAAACTTATATAGAATAATAATACAAAACTATATATTTAATATAGAATATATTGTGTATATTAATATGACTATTGTATTTTATAATAAATCTTTTAGTAATTAAACTTTAAAATTATCAAAATAAATTTTTTCTTAACGGGTCGAAACGGGTTACCCACGTGTTACCGGCGTGTATACCCGTTATTAACGGGTTCTTAACGGGTCACCCAATAATGACCCGATAACTTATCGTGTTGACCCGAAACCCGTTATTTTCGTGTCGTTTTCGTATCGTGTCACCGTGTCGTGTTAGAAACTGCCAGGTCTAGTACAAAGTGTCTTGGGTGGGGTGAAACTTCAGCAACAATTCAACTTTTTTTTTTTTTGGAATTTAACGCACAGCATACTGGTAGCAAGTCTGCGCCTACGAATCGGTTCTTTCCCACTCCACTTACAGAGGTCAGGTACCCGATCAATGCTTCTCTTCTCTTCTACTTCTTTTTCTATAATTTAATTTGTGACTTGTAGTGTTGTGCTTGTAAATATAATTAGGATTTTCAATTCTAGGGTTTATGATTTATTTATTTTAATGCGTATTGTTTATGCGAAATTAGAGTATTCACTTGTCAAGTGTCTATATTGCAGTTATAAAATTCGAACTTATGGATGCACTTAAAAAAAAAGGTTAAATCCCTTCAAGAAGATAAATGGATTATGGGTGCACTTAACAATGTTGGTTACTTTTGCTTCCTAACTAGTTTTGGTTCAAGATAATTCAAAGTTTCGATGTTGAATTTTGTTAACCATACCAGTTACAGTTGCCTCTGCAAAAAGAAGTTTCTCAAAATTAAAGTTAATCAAATCGTATCTTCGATCAACTATGTCACAAGAAAGATTGAATGGGTTAGCTATTTTGTCAATTGAAAAAGAATTGGTTGAAAAATTAGATTATGTAAACTTAATTAATACATTTGCGTCTAAAAACGCGAGATGTGTAATATTTAAGTAATGTTTGCATATCTTTCATCTTTGAATATGAATTCTAATGATTTTTTATGTAGAAATGAATTTTTTCATGTATTTAGCAAACCTTTTGACACACCCCGATCCAGAGGATCCAGGCGTGCTGGCCGTCACGTGAGCGTGACGTAACCATAAGTGCGACACGGAAGCGAAACAACAGCATACATAAGAAGGAATTCAAACCAACTCTAGCAGAACAACCTACTAGAATGACAGGACGAGATAAGATAAACACATAAATTCAGAGCATAGGTTTAAGTGCAATCAAGTAGGACAAAAATAAAAGTACATCACCCTCAGGTGAGTCCTACATGTCAAGTATCTGTCAGAATGCCGGAAAAAGACCTCGAGAGCCACCAATTGCTAACTAGAACCTGGAGGGGCGCAAAACAAAATGAGTAGGTCAGTAAAATCAAATAGTTTTCCAAAACAGTTCATTAAAAACAATTCTAACCCCTCACCGTAAAAACCTGTATACTTTCCCAGAAAATAGTATATATACATATATATATACGCAACATCAAACTCAACTCAATTTCATCAACATAATATCTCAATAATGACATGCCATGCCCAAAATATGATCAGAATACATCAATATCAATCAGGTGAATGATAAATCAACCGGAGACCCTACAATGGTCCTGTACGGCTGATTCTAAAGCTCAACATCCAATCCAACCGGAGTCACCTCGGTGACCTGTACGGTTCAACTCTGCACGTCACTCGGAACTACATATAGTAGTCTGTACGATGACAGGTGTATAAATACGCTCTAGTGCTTCTCTCATCAATCATCAGCGCGCATAACTAAGGTCACCCACTAGTCGGAATCACATCTAGTGATCTGTACGACTAGCATGTCGAAACCCTCACATGGTCTGTACGACATCCACCTACTTGGATCCAAGACAAGCGTGCGGTGTGGTGAATAACAATATAAGCACTATCACCTAGGTGCAGGTCATGAGCTTTCAATGCAATCCATGATAAATAACTCAGCTGAAAATAAATAAACTCACCTGAGCGTCCACCGCATCATTTCACATATATATATGTTAATTATCAAACTAAATATCTTAACAGTTTCATGCATGGCAAATAGATTCATAATTTTCACATAAACGGATTTTCTAGGAAAAACAGTTGTATATAGGTAAATACGAAATCAAAACTGCCCACTCACTGATAAGTCGAGGGGTCGTAACCCCCGTGGCGTCCCTGGATGCGCTCGTCCTCGGGATACGTGTCACCTATATGCGAAACAACTATAAAAACGTTAATTTTAAACACATCACCAATAATTCGAAATAACTTCTCATACGATGCTCAAATTGGGTATATGAATATACCACATCAACCTACTCGACGTCACGGACGTCGCAAAATTTTTAGAAAATTTTTTGGAGGTCCCACGCGCCGTGGGTGGCACTGATCCACGCGCCCCCCACGCGCATCTTCTTCCTCCTTGGCTTGCCGGACTGGTTTTTCCGACGGCCGGTTTCCAGCGAGTTTTGAAACTCTTCGTTCTCCTTCGTTTTTCACCCATTTTCTTCGTATTTTATATCAAAATGAAGCCCCAAACATGTAGAATCACGATAGACTAGTTTAAGGCTCTAAAATCAAGAAATCTCACCGGGAAAATTCTAAGAAATTCGGCCAAACTTGAACCACGTGATCCCGACGTCCAAATCCTTCAAACGAAGTACTCCGAGCCTCCTTGGGACCTCACTAAGCTCACTACAAGCTTAGAATTCCCTGAAAATCAACATTTTACATTCGCATGAACAGTGACAAAAAATGGAGGTTCGGGTTTCACGTGATTCCGAGGGTTTCACTTCCTAAAACTAGTACCATTCAACTTAAAATGACTCAAGGATGAAGATGCATACCTTGGATGCCTCGATCCGTCGAGTTTGGAAGGTGTTTGGGTGTGTCCATACGTTTGGGTGTGAAGAGAGAGAGGGAGTCGGGACGAGGAGAGAGAGAGAGACACGGGGAAGGGAGGAATAACAGGGAGGTGTATGTGTGTGGTCTAAGATCAAATCCACACCATCCATTTACGTCCCCGAAATTCCCATAACCAATTAAACCACTTAATACCCATAGAATAACCTCGGGTACATCTCTCTCATTCGATCTTCTG